CAGCTGCCATCAAGTCAGTTCTGACTCATGGTGACCCCACGACCCCATGTGCTGCAGAACAGAACTTCACTCCACGTGGCACTCATGGCTGTGGCCTTTTGGAAGCAGGTGACCTTTCTTCTCAGGTGCTGCTGGTTGGGTTCAGGTCACCACCTGTCTGTCAGTTGCAGCCAAGTGTTGAATCCTTTGTGCCCCTCAGAGCAAAAGCCCAGGCTAAGAAGGGCCGTAGGTGGCAGTTAGGGGTGGGTCTCATCAGCAGGAAGCAATGGGGAGAAGTTTAGTTGCTTGAATTTTGGGTTAAGAGCCTTGCTTGGGGAGTGGGTGGGGATGGAAAGACAGAAGGGCTCAAGGAGGGGAGCTGCTGAGATTGGGTGGTGACTTGGCTCAGGGAAGTGAGAAGAGGAGGCACAATGGAGAAGGAGTCAACATCTCAGGCTTGAGGCAGGTGGGCTTGAGTTAAGGTGCAGGGTGAGGAGGGGATAGTGTGAGAAGCTGGGCAGGAACCCAAAGAGCTCCAAGTCTGGGGTCAGGCTGGCTCTGAGGCAGCTAATGACTGGGGCTGGAGGCCAGCCAGGCAGGCAGGAGCCCTGTCGGAGGAGGGGTTGCTGGGGCCTGGGCAGGGGGAGGGGGAGCCTGGTAACTCCGAAGCAGGCTGTCCAGGTCACAGAATAATCGTTGTGAAATATTCATGGGCCTTCAGTCCAGATGCTATTTCAGAACAGCGAGAGCAGGGGGAGCGTGTGAGCCTCGGGAAGGAACCGGCGGCGGCAGCAGCGGCAGCAACGCGGCTCTCCACCACCTTCACCTCCACCCCCAGCAGCCCAGACAGACCCACGGACGCCCATCACGTGCACGCCCACGCTCGCACAATGGCTCTCACACACTCACACAAAGTGGAGCTGCAGAGCACGTGCAGGCACGCCAGCCACCCACGGGTCCCACAAACAGACAGATGCACCCGAAATACTGACAGCCATGCACACCCACCCAAATAAGACCCCACTGGAGACCATGTCCCTCTTCCTCCCATCCCCCAGGAGGTCTCACATGCACAGACACCCAGTCTCTCCAAAGGGCTCAGACTCACTGCCTTGCAGCCACACACCCTGAAATAGGAGGGGTCTTTACGGCATCCAGTCCAGCCTTCTCCAATGTTCTGATGGGGAAATTCAGGCCCAGAGAGGGGAAGGGACCAGACCAAGACTCCCATGCCCTGAAAGAAACAAAACTCATTCACTCCGGCTCAGCGAGTGGACCCCATTCTGCATTCTCTCCATACGCTGAGTCTGGTTGTACTTAATTCCTCCCTCCACCACCTCCCTGTTCCAGCTCTTCCTTACTTCATGCCTAGAATAGAGCAGAAAATAGCAGTAACCTCCCCACTGGCTTTCCTACATGCAGCTCCTCTCCCTCCCACCCAGCCTGCCTATGGTGACCATATTCATCTGAGAAAATTGATGTCATTATGTCACTTGGGAACCTACAAAAGCTCCCTATTGCCTACAAGTTAAAGACAAAGCATCTTAGCAAAGCATCAAGGATCCCTCAGAGTCCAGTCCTGGCTGCCTCTCTAGCCTCCCCACTCATGCCCTCGTCCCAGACTCTCACTCGGGCTAGCCTGAGCACATCTATCTGGCCATCAGTTACCATGTACTCAAAACCCACACACCTACTTTGAACGCTCCCTAAACTTTCTCAGTCTCCCCCAGGTTATGAAATCCACTCTCTTCATTTCGTAGACTCTAAAGCCTTGCCCCACGGCCAAGTCTCTCTGACCTCCCTGGGGTTTCTGTTCCCACCTTGAAAGTCACTCAGGCTCAGGCTTTAGCCAAGGGGATGGCTGCCCCCCACTGGCCACCTTGGGAAACAGCCAGGCTTCAGCCATTCTAAACTGAGAGTGAGCATCTATTTGCTGGGGTAAAGAACTAGGAGCCAGATGACAGGGTTTATAAACCCTTAAGCCTCTAAGGTTCTAATACCCCCGGCGGGGGGGGGGGGAGGCTGCCCCTGCACCCAGCTTTCTGAACTGCTGGCTTCCAACCTTAGATCCCTAACCAATGAAAGCACCCCTCCCCTCGGAAACACAAAGACCTCAGGAAGGACTTGGGCTCCCAGGACTACTGAAGGGAAATTTGCCCACTAGGCTCTGAAAGGCCACAAGGCCAGGCACAGTCCAGGTGGCAGGCCTAAGGCCCAGCTGGGATCAGGTTTCTACATGAATTTTTAATGCTTCCAGCCAGACCTGTCAGATGTTCCGAAACCTGAGCATCTCCTTTAAACTCCAAACCTGATGCCCTTTATCCATCCTCATTGCTCCTGAGGAGGGGTGCAGAGCGCATGCCTGGGACAGCTGCCCACTGGGCTCAAGAGGGACCACACCTGGGCAGTGGCCTGGGGGGAGTACAAGGGTGAATGGTTACTAGCTGTGTGACCTTGGACAAGTGACTTAACCTCTCTGAGCACCCATTTTTCATTTGAAAGCTGGGGGCAATAGTGCCTGCCTAAATCAAATTGCTGTGGAGAGGAAGTGCAATAGCCCATGGAAAGGCAACCCATCTACACAGGTTTCTTACCTGCCTCCCTCCTCCTATGTTCTTCCAATCAGGGAGGGGACTTTCTTTAGTTCTGCCACCTACCCACCCCCAGAACCAAGCTGCTCCCTCCAAGATCCTTTGGCCTTCCTGAGAACATCAGGTTCGAAGGGGAAAGGCCGCCAAGAAAGTGGGGCCAGGCTGGTGGAGTAGAGGGGACAGTGGCTGAGATGGGGGAGGCAGGGTGGTGGGTGTGGATCCCCTTATTGGCGTGTTGAGCCTCTGGGAGGGAGGCCTTCCTCCCTGAGCCTGCCCTCTTCTCAAGGAGAGAAAAGCCGGGTGTACACTCTGTGTTTCTCTCCCTCCCTCCCTCCCTCC